GAGAGAGAGAGAGAGAGAGAGAGAGAGAGAGAGAGAGAGAGAGAGAGGGAGGAGGAGAGAGAACAGTACGAACACAATGAAGATTTATTTAACCAGAGCTTTAGTGTTATGGAAAGCCTGCTGATCTAATGGTTTATTTGCCACCCACAACACCATCATGATGCATGATTTACGCTTTTAACTTATCCCATGTTGAATCCCCAAGTCCCTGTGTTGCTTCTCATAATGATTTTGTCATTTATAATGTGAACATGACTGTCCTCCCTTGCATTTCTTTACGAAGAGCAAGGTGAGCCGAAGACTGTATGTCATTTCCTTTCTCAGGCTCATTCTCCATGTACTATTTGCCATCACGGATACACAGAGGCCTGCTGTGCCAGGGCTCCAGCGCACTGAACCCTTGCAGGGCTAGCTGCTCTGTCCCAGAAATAATGTCCCCGGGGGGAAAAGCAAGGGCTTGCCCCACCCCGGCTCCTGCTTTCATGATGGGAGAGGCATGGGACAAGGAGGATCTGATGAGCATTGTTTTTGGCAGCGTGCTTCACAAGGGCATGAGAGGCAGGCAAGAAAGCATCTCAGAATGGCATAGCTGAACGCCTTTCTCCACTGACCAGCACCACACCAGGTTCTACCTTAATGATCCCATGAGCTGAACCAAGGTTGGCCTCCCTTGCACACGACCAGTGGGCTGCCTTATGTCAGCTGCTAGACAGAGAGAAGCTGTGCTTTCATCTACACCAGTGATGTACAACCTTTTCAGCCATGAGGACCAAAATGGGTATTGCATGCTTCGTCAGGATCCACATGTGCACGCACATGTGCCCACGCATGCACGCACATATTCCAGTCATCCTAATATTGTTCCTTGTTTGTAGCAATGGCAGGAAAAGAGCAATTTGTATCAGGAGGGATGGAAAGAAGGCTGGCCCTGTGGGGGGACTTGTGTGGTCCCCGGGCCATAGATTGTGCACCCCAATATACATAAATAGGAGCGATTAAATCGGAGCTATTCAGTGTCTCCCCAACATTGTCTGCTATCCTTCCATACTTCCAATAAACCAGGTGAAGGAGGGGGGGAGATATTTGGAGAGAACTGTATTAGTGCTACTATTAGCGAACTGTATTAGGGGACTTCTGTTCATTGTTATGGAAGACTAGATGAGAGACAGAAGGCCCACCTCTGTATGTTCTCACAAATGAAGCAGTCATGGAGGTGCAGAGGTGTAGTTTCCTTTGGAAGCCATCCTGTTACCTCTTGTTTATAAGGACAAAGCATTTGGGAAGACCGGGAGCTGACAGAGTGGATGCTGCATCCTGATTATGATGACCTTTCACGCCTCTCTCCCTCTTGTGGAGTGCGTGCCAACTCTACCAAGAACAGTCTCCGTGTACAGGACTTGAGAGCATTGGTTCTGCAGCAGCACACCTTTGTTCCTTGGCTCACTTACAGAGTGCAGAAAGTGGAAGGCAACTCTGTGCAGTTCAGAGAAGCCCATTATGGTGACTAGCTAGTGGGCAGTCTTCAGGCAATGTTTAAGAACTTCATATGTGCCTTTCTAATGCCTGACAAGGTCCACGCGCCTAGATGTCACCAATTGTTATCAAAATTGGGGAGCTGAGGCACTGCCTGTCACATCATGCCAAGTAAATTTGGCTAACAGGCATTTCAGAGAAGGCAAGGACAGATGTGAGAGACACCAGCTGTCAAGCAGAGATGCAGGGTTGATATTTATCTTGTGATCCCCCCAAAACACAAGTTAGTTATTGGAGGGAGAGGTAGTAGCAGAACTCTGAAATCTGACAGCCCTTTTATACTGCTGGATGATGGCGGTGGTGGTGATGATGATTGTAAAGTACTTCTAAGCATTCCTTTTTGTGAGCTTTTAAAAATGTCTAAAGGAACGTACTGCTTGCATTTATTGTCATGGCCAATTAATGGTTTTATACTTATCTAAATAGCATCTGGATTTCATCTTTAAAGAATCAGAAAAAATGAGTGAATGATTTCACATGTGCACAGCACCACTTGGACTTGACAGATCCTTCGGAAAATATGCAGATGTTCCAATGCTGGAGTGAAATAGTTTTATCTGTCAAGTGTGAACGACAGTGATGAGTAAAGTGCTTGCAAAGTTTAGGCCTGCTGGTGTCTAACAAATGCCAAGGGAAAACCTTCTTTGTTCTATCGAATTCTCAGGAGAACCCTTGAAATTTTAACGTGCATGCAAAGTTGTCATTTCAGGAGTTCACTGGTGAGGGAAGTCTAGAAACAGAGATGTTTATATGCAGTCTAATGGCAAGGGGAGGCGGGTGAACGATGAAGGAGGGAAAATGTTATATAAAAATGAAAGATCACTGGAGGTTTCTCAAAATCAGGGGAGAACTCCACTGATGCAGACCATGTGTTCATGATTGTGGCTTTTGTGTGTCCCAGTCTAGGACAATTAGGTTCCTGTAACTCAAAACCTTGACTCTCCAGGCCTAGTCAAGCATTTCTAATCCGTGGAAAGTAAACACAGGAGGCTGGGACGCATGCTAGCTACCACCCGTCATGGCTGTCATTGCCCACTACCCATGGAGGGAAACTTGCAAAGACAAAGGCCTCGTGTGTCCTTGGAGGCTCTCTGTGCAATCTTGAACACTGATTTTCCCGCTTCGTATGCTTAGTCAACTTGGATAAGAATAATCTGAATGGGCTCAACTGTGATCAAGTCCCCCTTTGAGCCATGGATGCACACATGGGCCCATCGCCGTCTCTCAGCCTGTCACATTTCACAGAGCTGTTTGAGGAAAATGGATGAGATGTTGAGTTCCTTGGAGGGAGGTTAGGTGCTCCTGTTTATGACTTGTATCTCAGCTAGGGGTTCTCACTCCCACCCGTCTCCTCCTTTCCTCTTGACTTCCAAGCTTCTCCTCATCTTGGTGCCAGGAGATGGGTGACTTCTCAGTTCTTTTTCCTGTCCTAACTGTACAACAGAGAAATGGCTTGTGCTGCAAGTGTTACATTTTGAAATGTTCAGTCTGTGCAGCCATTTCCCTCTCTCCAAATTCTGTTGATTGCTTAGCAACCAGTTGCTTGATTTCTATAGCTCAGCCACAGGGTAGGTGTGGCAAGCTTGCTATTTACCACAAAATATGGAAGCAACCTCATAGAAATTTAACTCAGAATCCCTAAATGGGAGAAATCGGAAAGGACAAAGCAAAAAGCAGGACCCTGCCCCCGCTTTTTTTCCTGGCTGCGTCTTCCTGCATTTTCTTTTTAGCATTGTCATAAGTTTCCCAGCAAGCCTCAGGCAGAAGAAGTGAAAATGTGGAGTGCTTGCCATCAAGTACATTTCCCTACATTTAAATTCTAGGTTGTGTATAACTGCTCAGTGGGCACACTCTTCAGGAACATCCACGTAAGCTTTGCTCAACAGAGAAAAGCTTTCAAGATGTGCTTGGGCTCTCATCCCCTCCTATATTTTGCAAAGAATTCTTCTGGAAAGGGCAGCACAGAAGGTCGAGCAGAGGAGACAAAAGTCCACCGTGTGTAGGTTTTAAACATCCTCCTTACAAAAGAGCACAAATCACTAATGCGTTTTTATGTAATTCTCTTTTCGCCTGTGCCTCCCTCACCATCCTTTGTCAGCAACCCTTGCCCTTTCCCACAGTGGCCCTAACAGCGGCCTTCGTAAAGCGGAAGTGTCATGACAGGAAAACAATGGACGTGCATAGTCTGTGAATGGAACATTAATCAGATACTCTGTATGTTGCTTTTTTCTCCCATTTGCCATTTCTGAAGGAGCAGAACAAGGGAAAGGGGAACAGACTGCAGAGCCCATGCAATCTGAAGGCCCATGCGATACAGAAAACCTTTCAAGTAATGATGGTAAGCTTCCAGAGGACGTCTGCTAGTGTGGGATGAACAGCGCATTTCCCTAAAGAGTGAAAACTACTCTGTAGTCCAACTGCCATTTGATGGACTGATAGAAGATGTTCAGCCGTATATTATTATTATTATTATTATTATTATTATTATTATTATTATTATTGAGCCATATATAAATCTGTTAAATGCTGATGATAGTATGAATACTAATACTAGCTCATTGGGCGGCAGTTTGCACTAAGCCTGGATTATGCCAGAAATGGAGAGCCCTAATTGGTAGCCACAAGGAATGCTACTTCAGTGCAACCAATGCAGCAGCAATCAGGCCAGGACTGGAGGAAACGTGGCCTTGTCAGGAACTCCATCAGAGAGAAGCTCGGTGTAGAGAACATGCCCCAAACATACAGAGCAGGCTGTGCTTTGCTCTCCCTGGTGCACTCGTGAAGTAAGTCAGCCACTACTTGCAGAGGAGGATACAAATGTCATTGTTCTGTTAGCCCTGTCTCTTAGTGTTATCACACACACAGTCGCACACACGAGATTCTGTCAGCACCGTTGAGCTGTTGTTGAATTTGCAAGCCTATACTATGTATGTATACATTTGAAATATTTATATATTACTGTGTTATATTATTAAATCACAGGATGGTGTGCAAAATGCATTGAAGCACCAAAAGAATCTACCAAGCTAGTTATTAAAATCAGCAAATGCCTGGATATACAGATACATTTTCAATAGCTACCGAAGCTCAGTCAAGGAAGGGGTCATTCACATTGCAAGGAGGAGAGAATTCCAAAAACAGAATGCCACAACCAAGAGGGTCTTTTTTACTGGTTGCTACCAGATGTGCATTTGCGTGTGATGGGACAGCCATGAGCTCTCCGTGAACGGGCAGCTCGATAGCAGAGAAGGCTCACCCCAAGTTGCCTGGCCCCAAGGTGTTAAAGGCTGCGTATGTCAGTAACATCACCCTAAACATCCATGACCCTAAACACGCTTGTGACATGGTAGGCATGTCATGGGCAGAGCCGGCCGGAGCTAGGGATCAGACTAAATGGCCTGGGAGACCCCTTCTGACTCACTCTATTTCTATGATATCATGGTAGCCAGTGCAGTTCTCTGAGCAAGTATGTAACATGCTTGTGGTGGGCTGCCCTCACTGCCAAAACGTGCATTAGCTGACTCTCCAGACCAGTCTGTGGGGATGAAGCAGTTAGAACCCTATCCAAGTTTATAAAAACTGGATTGGAAAAATGACTGACCTAACAGTCTGTTCCTGACCAATATCAGACACCTGCCAGCCCCAACGCACACTTTTTCTGCTGCGGAGAATCTAAGGTTTGAACAAGTCAGCTCTCCAGCTCTGGCACTGATGGCATCCATCTTCCTTCTCGTGCATTTATCCAACTCAGTATCCTTTGGCTAGAGCATAAACAGCACTGACTTTCATTCCTGGCTCTCTGCTCTTCTCTCCCCTCATTTCCATCACACAAGAAATGTAAGGTTTTTCCACTCCCACCTTTTTACTGATAGTCAGCTTCTCTCCCAAATGCCTGGTCTCTTCCATCTGTCTTCTCTTCAGGTCAATCTGTCTTCTTTACTGACTTTCCTCTGAGTTTTAATCCACTGCTCTGCTCCCAGCCTCCAGTCATCCTAGGCTGTACCCAGCCTTCTTACTGGGCCAGTGGAATGAATATTGCTGGTGGAATGAGGCTTCTGCATCCTTTCCTCTTTTTGAAATCCCTTGTGCACTCTCCAGATTTGCTCTGGAAGGTTAGGAAACCTTCTGGAGATGATCTGGAGAATGCATGGGAGAGTTGCAGAAGTCATATTCTGCCAGTCATATCTATTGCACAGGTGCAACGAGGAAGCCAGATTCAACCCCCTGCCTTTTGGAAGAGACAGAGACTTTACCCCAGGGATTCTCAGTGCTTCGCATGAAACATAGCACTTGCCAGGTTCAAGCCAATGTATTATCATAGCATTATTATTATTATTTTATTAATACTAATTTATTATTATAAATAAATATGGATCATGATAATGTAATTCTAATAACAAATGCAATGCAATGTTAGTAAGTAAACATTGTAAGATGATCCAGAAAGTGAAAAGTTCTTGCCCTGTCTCCAACTCTAGTCAGTTTTACAGAATTGAAGATCAGCTATTTTTTGAAAGGTAGAGATGAATGTATGGTGCACAGAGTAACCCTTTTTGCAATGACAGCACAGAAATTGAGACTTATGACTTAAGTTTCACTTCAAATGTTGCTAACTGTGCTGAGGACATGAGTATTTATTGCTTGACTAGGTTAAGTCAAGCCATGTACTTAAACCACTAATTTGGCAGGGCTGTTTCTTCCTTTCTTAAATACGTAAAACAACTCAAGTATGAACTAATATAGTTAATCAAAGTTAGACATTTCATCAAGAGAAACTGAATGGAATATTAAACATCAGGCATTAGATCAGCAACAGCAACAGTGACAACATTTTCATCTAAATACTGCCTTGATTTAGTTCATCAACTGCAGGAGCATTCAGTAGGAAGAGCATTTGGCTTTTGTAGACACAGAGGACTGATTTTAGCACTACTGTTGAGAGATACCCACAGAACATGCCATTGTGTTTTCATTAACAAAGTCTGTGCAACACCAGCAAGAGGTCTTAGCATCACTTCCACACACAACCTGGCAGGCTTGGAAACAGAAGCTGGATGAATAATTTGCAGCCAGTGCAATGGCATTTTTGCAGGTGTACTGATATAATAGAAGCAAACATGCTCCATGGCATATGACCAGTATATTAAAAAGAAATTTCGGGTTGGGGCGGGCTCTTCTTTTTTCTTCAAAACTTCCATTCAGGTATGAATGCTATTCGGGCAGTTTCAAAGCATTCACTCAAAAGAGCTTTCCAGCGAAATGCACAATATCAGCAATAGATTTACAAAAATGGCTTCTTCGAGAGCGTTAGTAGAGCAGTATTATAGGAATAAGTTCTTAAAGTTGATAGAGATTTTATAAAGGTGCCTAAAGGCCTTCATCTGATCCTACAGTAATTCAGAAGAAAGGCTGAAAAAAATATATTTAGTAGTACTAAAACTTCAGAGATCGTATGTTTTCTTAGCCATTCCACAGTCACGGAGGCGGTTCAGCCCTAGCGCTACTGTTGTTTTCAATGACAAACTACTGCATTATGTAACTGCATTTGTTGCTTTGCTAAAACTGCAACAGAATAGATTGCAGTGAGGGAGATGGAGCCGGATTGCGAGGCACTCTGTGCTGAAAATGCTGAAAGACTCCCCTTAGCCTCATTTTGAACTGCATTCCCATTTGGCCTACTTGGTGTATGAGTGCAAAGTGGTCACAGGATCAGGGCCACTCAGTCCAGCACAATCAGTCTCAGCCCTATCCATGGTGTTCGGGCCAGTCTCAGCTGGCTTCCCTCCCTGATGCAGTGCATCGAAAAAGGCAAGTGATCAACTGTGCGTTAGCCCCATTCTTAGCATGGATACGGAAGACCAGTCAGCACTAGAAATAACTCAGGTCTCCATTTGGAGGGCTAAGTAGATGTCCTTGATTTCTGCAGCTGGCTCTGACGTCCAGCTTCACTTTCCCATTCAAAAAGGTGGCTGAGGGGACGGTCCCCTTTAGCTTCCGTAGGACATTTTATTTGTAGTCTCATTCCAGTGGCCTCCTTGACTGAGTAGGACACTGAAATGGTTGCTGTGCTCAATGACAACAGTGCAGACAGTCAGCTGTGGTTAAACAAATTGCACCTGTATCAACTCTCCTACACAGCCAGGTCTTGGATATATGTGTGCAAATGCTTCTGCGTATAGAAGCAGAGTAGAGGATTGCCTCGGCCTGGAGCTCTCTGGCCTGTGTTGTGGATGTTTCACAGTACAATTCTGTGAAATTGCAATTCAGTGCAATTCTGTATGCTAGGAACAAGTCCCACTGAATTTGCAGGGACCAGCTCCCAGTTAAGGATGTGCAGCTGGGTGGGGAGCCTCTCGCAGCCCAAGGGCCAAATGTATCCCCAGAGAAGATTGTAGGGGCAACAGTCCCTTGGTGGCTGAGTCCGAAGGCAAAGGGGTGGCATCAAACTAGAGAAATACACAAAAATGCCACCATATTTTAGTTGAAACTAAAATGAAACTGTTGGAGAGGCAACTTAACCCTTTTAGAAGGTAGGCGGGGGAACCTGTGCAAATGCTAGGAAATCACCCCAAAATTGGCAGATACCGTATGTATGTATGTATGTATGTATGTATGTATTTATGGCATTTCTATACCGTTTGAGTAGGGTACAGAGTTGCTGATATCTTCTGGGTCCAGGCTTGGACCTTGTGGCTAGGCAAAGGGGCTGGGACTTGGAAAGGGAATGTGGCCATCTGGGGAACCTCGAAGGGCCAGCTTTGGTCTGTGAGCCTAAGGTCCTTCCCTGCTGGGATATAGGACTGTTGCTCTAGCCAGCAGTGAGATAGGAAAGGAAGCATACAGAATAGAGCCAATTGCAATGCAAAGTATATGTGCTGGCTGGGACCACATTATGCAGCGCTTGACAGTGGTACTTGATAATACTGTGTTGCCTGTCAGGTCCTGCTGTGATGAAGCTATTGCCTCTTTCCAGCCTTATGAAGCTGGAAAACGAAACCCTTGCAGCATCTAAATATTCTCCATGTAGGAATGACACCAAAATACCATAGTGATTATATCAAAGGTGATATTTCAGATCTCAGAAATAATAGCAATATTCCTATTAAAGGAAGGTAAAATTGGACTTTGAAGTGTTAGGTTTCTCACATGGGTGTTAGCTGTTCGAATGTATCTGTATGAAATGTTACTTTTTGGAAAGGTACTTATGAAACAGATTGTTTAAGTTCAGTAACTTGGCTATGGCCTTATTTTCAGAACAAGTATTAGATTTATTGCAGAACTATAACCTTCCTGTTTTGTTTTTAGTTGAAATGAATAGTCAGGTTGAAAACATAGATGAACCTACAGAATCCCAGAAAGGAAATTAATATGTGGGTAAGTCTATTTATTTTTTATTTTCCAAAAATTGAAGCTGATTCGTATATACAATTTTGTTTGGATTTTAAGCTATGGAACAAAATTATATAGCCGCAGAGGATGTATGTATGCATAGGTATAATCCAATGTGCTCTGAGCCAGATGCATGTAAGCTGGTGAACTCGGAAGTGCCAAGTGCCTGGCGTGAGACACTGCAGCAGACCCTGCCACACCTTGTCCCAAGTATTTACTCCAGATGGCTCTTTTTGGACATCCTGGTTTAGCACCAGGGAGGCTGAGGGAAGGGGGCTGGGTCATCGACACAGGGCGATGGCCCAAATCTCCTTCCCCTTCCATCCCCTCCCTCCACCCATTTTTATCCTCTCCGAGCCCCAGTTCCATCCTCAGAGAGGCAGCCTTGCATTTCCTTTTGACCAGCGGTGAGTGGGGTGGGCCAGAGGCATGGCTTTTGGAGTCACAGCCCCGAGGTTGCAGGACCTTGGAGCAGGGGCTCCCAAAACATTGGGAGGCCATAGGATTGCACCCTAAGAGCATGAATTCAAACCATCCAGGATTCGAGAGATTAACAGTTGCTTGCAGATGAGGCTTCTCAGCACTGGCCCACCTGAGACGTTGCATTCCCCAGATGCTGAGCTCCAGCTGCCAAGGGACTGGCTATTTGTATGAATAAAAGAACTCCGCCTTTTCTTAAACAACAGGTCCAAAGCAAGCTGCACAAGGACAGAGCTGCAGTCATTGTTATGTTTGCAGAGAGTGGAAAACACCTTGGTATCACTGCAGAAATGGTTGCTGTTCCTATCCATGCTTCCTTTTCTCCAAGGAAATGAGGCACGAGAGGAGTGTGTGCCTTTGTTTCCAAGCAGAATGGCACTCCAGGATCTCTCAAAAGTGCAGTTCTGCTTGGAAACAAGGTGTGTGCCCTTGTTTCCCTTGCAGCATCTAAATATTCTTCATGTAGGAATGACACCAAAATACCATAGTGATTATATCAAAGGTGATACTTCAGATCTCAGAAATAATAGCAATGTTCCTATTAAAGGAAGGTAAAATTGGACTAAATGTGCTTAATCAGCACATTTTTGCTGCTGGTCTAACAGATTTGGCAGCGGCCCTGGGCTATCCCAGGACTTGCCCATACCCATTACCATATCCTATAAGGCAGGGACTGGGATCATGAGGTCCTCCAACTTCCATCATCCCCACTATTGGTAATGCTGGCTGGGGCTGATGGGAGTTGCATTCCACCCACCCATGGAGGGCCACACATACTCCATCGCTAATAAAAGAGGGAAAGGATCACACATGTGGGAAGTAAGCAATTATTACTGCATTATCTGATAATACACAGAAGTAGAAATGGGAAAAGGAAGGGCGCTAAGCAGGGCTATGATTAAAAGTATGTATTCGTGTCCAGAGATGTGACTAGTAATATGCAGAATAAAAGCTAGCGTCGTTGGACAGGAGTTGCACATCTGATGACACTGGGATTGGGTTAGATCACAAGCTCCCGGCTGCAGCGGGATAAGCATTGCGCTACTTCTTAGGGAAATGATAAGCCACTTATACTGGCACCGATTAAGTCTGCCTGAATTCTGAGCTCACGGAGCCATGCGTGGGCTCTTCCAGCTAGACTGGCGTTTGCACCCCCCCTGCTTTATGAAGGCTCAGTGCGGTGCTGCTGCAGAGCACAGGAGAAACCAAGGAGAGCGCAGAAAGGTAGGCACAGACCTGAGCAGACTGAAAGGCTGACAGAAGACACATCCCTGCCATGCCCTAATTGTCAAATTCCGCCTTGAGATCCTGCCAGGGATGGCAGAGACCCAAATATGTTGCTCCTCTTCCTTTTTCCACTTATTCCACAATATTGCTATCCTTGTGTTGCTTACACCCAGAATGGAATTTCATGTACCCCAAGACCAAATATAGAAGCTTTAGATCAATACCAGCTCAGTTACAGGTATTTTAAAGCGCTGTATTACAGTACGTATGTTTTCATCCTTGTCAGTATCTTGAAAAGAGGCCGCAGTGTTGTGGACAGGTGAGGGAAAGCAGTCCGCTGCAGCCTCCATTTTAAAGCTTGCCAAGCAGAAAGGAGGCGGGGCCTGGTGAGCGCACACCACAACCTGGCATACACACGACGTCGCGACTGCCAAGCTAAACAACCCTTGAGTTGTTATGCCTGCAGGAAGAAAGCGGGTGCACTGCCCCCTGCAGCCTCAACGCTTCCACTTTTAATCAGCCACCTATGATTGGCCGCATTGTGGGTTGCTGAGCATGATGGGCAAACCTGAGTGCTGTTCGTTGCTGGAGGAACCACCGGGTTGGTTAGTGCTCCAGGCTCCTGTCTCATTCGACAAGCTGTGGTCCAGGTTGCTGAGCAAGAGCAGGAGGGGCTGTTGTGCCACGGCATCACCCCCAGTCTCTCCTGCTCATCGCCAGCAGCCCATGGACTATTTAACCCATGGGCAGTCGCTCCCTGAGAACTGGCCCAGCGTGGCCACTGCAACTCTGCACTGGGAACTCTTCTCTTCAGCTTCACCCACTAATACATATCCTTCCCCTCTTTCTCCTTCTATACCAAAAATACAGCTCTCACATACTTGCTGCTTTAGAAATAGTTTCAAAGGGTATGACCTACACTGAGTAGAAGAATATACTACTTTCTGTGAATTGTTTTCATCTGAATGAAAATTGATAATATAATACAAAGGTAATATAATGGCAAAGACGCCTGGCATGAAGCCTGCAGGAGGGAGGGAGGGAGGGAGGGAGGGGGAGAGAACGACGCAGGGCTTGTCTCACCTCAACAGGGAGGCCCTGCATAGCTGGCATGCAAATAAGAGCTCAGTAAAATGGGAAAGTGTCAGAACACGAAATCCCTTTCATTCTAGAGCATTTACAGGGTTTGATGTTATTACCTTGTCAGATCAAAAGCCTTTTATGTGGACTACAGAAAATTTAAGCAACCACTAATTAGATCGACCATTTTAAAGCCCTCCTCTAATTAATATTTATATAGCATTATGTGATGTTGAGTAGCATCTTCCCACTTCATTCCCCAGAAACTTTTAAAAAGTACTTGAAAGAACGAAACTTTGATGGCTAGAAACTCTCCTTCTCTTTTTGGACAGAGTGTTCCAGGCACATATGGGGAAATCCTTTCTTTCAAGTCCCGCAAGGCTTAGCCACAGGCATATATGTGGCTGAAAATTCTAGACAACTCCAGAACACTGACTGATGCTAAGCAGTACTCTGGATACAGAGTTTACCTATTAATTACCCAGTGCTGATGCTATGCAGAGATGACCACGGTTCCTCATAAGTGCCATAGTTCACGGTGACACTGCTGGTTTGAACAATGGATAACAAAAGGGAGGGCAAATAAGACACCCCAAACCTGAGCTTTACCAGCTCTCCATGCTTGTTTTATTATGTGGAGTGTGCTTGCACCCATAAATATCCACAACCTGACTTCAATTAATTACTCGGTGTTTCAGGTCCATGCCCTGCTGTCGCCTCCTCATGGCCAGCATCCATCAGACAAAGTTGGCTGTCACTGTTGCCACGTGCTCAGGTCTCTGGGGACCAGACATTCCTTTTTTGGATTTTACTTTTTAAGTGGTCAGGCTACCTTGATAAGTAGTGCATAATGCCAACAGACCGACCTCGCTCTTTCCCTTTACCTGGAAGCTCAGGAACGCAGCAGGCACTGCAAGGACGGGGGCGCACATGACATGTTCTTCACCAAAGCAAATATGGATGGTTGAAAACTGAATGAGGGGTTTATGTATGCATTCAAGAGCCTGTAGAGGTAGCCAGAAAACTTGAATTCCTGAACCAAAAGCCCATCCAGCATGAAGTCGGCCACAATCCCTGATTATGTAATTTTTAATCCTTTTCAAAGCACCAACTAATTTTGTCTTTGAGAAATATGAACTGTTACAAAGGAAGCACCCTGATGATTTAAATAATGCCACACTTTGCCACCCTTCTCACCTTCATTTGACGTGCATTTCATCCAGATCATGAGTGAAGTAGGGAGAGGAGAGGAAACTGAAAGTTCCCATGGTGGGAAGGAGTGGTGAAATCCACGCAGACAAAATAATATTGATAAGATGAGAAGCTTGGAGAACAAAGGGAGAGCACGTTTTGGGATGATTGCACGTTGTGAGAAAGCTTGCAGTCAGAGTATGAGGCGAGCTGTTAAAAACGACATAGCTTTATACACATGCACAGTTTGCTGCAGTGTCCCTTTTGCGTCTCCTCCTCCCTTACGGAATGGCAGTGTGCCCAAGAGCACACGTAAATTGATGAAAACCTCTGTAAAAAGAGATCCTGTTGGAGCCACAGAGTCGCAGCAGGGTCCTGTTTTCACAGTTTCTTAATCAGTGCACATCTTTTCACAAACAAGATCTCCATTGGGAACTTGTGGGAGAAAAAGATGCCCACTGAGAAGTGCAGCAAAAATATGCATGTCCCAGTTCTTGGGGAAAGTCTCCAGACTGAACCTGTGGAAAGCAGGACAGATGCGGGCTCTTTTCTTTTCTTTTCTTTTCTTTTCTTTTCTTTTCTTTTCTTTTCTTTTCTTTTCTTTTCTTTTCTACCATATTTGCAAAATGTACTGTCTGAAGCATCCCTCTCAAATGGAGCTTAGGAGTTCTAGTACAGGGAAGTAGCATGCCAGGTGTTTGGGACTTGAACACTCAGCAGCTCTGAATATTGCCCATGGTGGCAAGGGGCGTCCGGAGGCTTAAATCTGAAACATTTGGATATTTACCGTCCACCCACCCCAGCCTTAACAGATGACTCTGCAATGCATAGTTTAAATCAACTAATTCCATGTACGCCTCCCCCCCACCTCTATTTCCACAGAAGATCACGACGAGAGAAGAGAACAGGATGTGGAAGAAGAACTGCAGTCTTTGGTGCATTATATGGCAACATTCTTGACCAGCAGACAACAGCACATCACGGAGCGCAAAACAGGATGGGGGAGGGACAACAATTCTTTACGTTAATTTCTCTTCTCTGTTTCATTTTATTCAGTAAAATAACATCAAGCTTCTCTCCCTTGGCTGTGGTGTCTTGGTTTAGTTTTCTTTGCTTCTGCATCTTCTTTTGGAAATCTCAGCCCCCTTTACTCCTGCAAACAATATGTATTCTTTGCTTCTAAATGGTGTTTATCTATTATGATTTTTCTCCGAGGCGACATGGGCAAAGGGCAGGTGAATTCGAAGGATTCCTTCCAAGAGATTACAAAGCGTTTGCATCTGCAGCTACCCACAGCAAGCCATGGTAGTCGCAATAGCTGTTTCCTTTGTCCCACTGGCATCAGCGTTTCAGCTTGTTAGGCTTTTCCTGCGGCCCCCAGAATAGCGTAAGAAGGGAGTGCGTAGAGCTTTTAGTGTGAAAAAGACGTAGGCTCACATGGTTCGAGTATCACAGAACCCACGCAGAACATGCCACAGACCACTTCCGTGGGGCTGAGATCCCATGCAGGGACTTCTGAATGCAAGCCGGAGCTGGACACATAATTTCATGTGGAGATTTACTACCTGCTTGGGCTAATCCAGCTGGTAAGAGACTTGCAGGCAGACTTGACCCCAGGGAGAGTGTGTGTTAGTGGCCTCCACGTAGCAGCTAATGACATTTGCTTTGGTCCACCTACTTACCCTCTGCCTAGGAGGTTAAGTCTATCTGCCATGATACTTAAGAACGGACCACCCATGCTAAGGAGCCGTTTACCTGTCATTGCCAAGTATTAGGAATCTGCTTCTTTTCACAACCAACTTGCAAGAGGTGGTATTTCTCATTGACTAACTGGACATTTCATATGACAATCAGTTTCCTCTATTTGCAAATTGTTTGCTGATTTATCCACGTCATGAAATATCTAATCTACAGTAATTGTGTGGCTGCACAACCCAATATTGTATTGTTTACTGATGGGTCAGCACCCCTGTTGTCTTTGGAACATGATGGAATCACCTCTTATTTTCAGTGCCCTCCAAGTAAGAGGGATTGCAAATACTCGGCATCTAGCATATTATAAAATATGGCTTGTGGCTTTAACACTTTCCTGTCGACTCTTATTATATTTTCAATGGAATAGGCACACTTTTTATACATAAAAAGCAATTAACAGTTATCAGGTGACAAATGTTGTACCATATGTCATCTGTTCTGCTAGCAAATGCTGTACTCAACTTTAAAAAAAAAAGAATTTTACATTCATTTTTCAAATACGCTCTAAATTAAACTGATACCCTACTTGCAAGATTGAAAGAACACACAGCATGAGTCTAGGGTTTGATATTCTGTAAACTACTTTCCAACTGCTGTTAAAAACAATTAGAGAGATGTTTTATACTATGAAATTCTGGTTTTTGCTCAATTATGCATATGTCATTTTCCAAAGTTCTAAAATAAGAATTTTCTGACTTAAAAAAGGGACAAAGAAACATGTTTCTAAAGGGATGTGTAGTGAACCCTACTCCCTTTTTGAAAACTTCCTTAACATGAATCTGGCATAAGGTGGCATACCTTGTTTAAGCTTGCAGGGCTGCATCAGAAAATATTACTTAGTTCACAACATGCCATTTGTGGCAAGCTCAAAAAGATTGGTTTCAAATTTGATCTATAGCTGTGTGCCTAAAGAGCAATATTTGTGTATGGAGGAGGGGGGAACCCCAACTGTGCTGTGAAAGGGTGACATTTTCAACTGGTAATTTCTCTGTCCTTTTGAACCATCTGTTGCTTCCGTGTCTGGGACTATATTTATGGAATTACATAGACTTTAATATCAGCATTAACACGAACCTCAGTTCAGTACATAATATGATCAGAGTTGCATTTAGTTCCATGTCATGTGCTAGTTTGCTAGGCTTGGAAAGAATGCATTTATTTTCCATTTACTCACGGGAGTCCTATGCAGCTTTCCTCTTCCATTCGTACTAGGTGGATTAGGAGATCTCTCTCTCTTTCTTCCTGCTATTATATCCCCCCTGCCCCACTCCTGTTCTCTGTATTGATTTGTCATTTCTGGTAGACTCCACTTACTGTGATCAAAGCGCTAGCTTGGCTGGGCATCACAAATTACTCCAATTTAGCAAAAGCAATCTTCAGTGCATGGAACATCTCCCCTGATTTGAGCCACACATGAAAAGGGTGGCCCGTAGGGTTAAAAAAAAAGGGGGGGGAGCAAAGCAGAACCATATGCTGTATACATGGGGCTGCCCAAATGGCCATCGTTGCTAGTTCACTTCCGTGCCAGGTTGCTGCAGCGAAGTGTGAAGCAGAGATGGGGAGCTCAGAATAGGGAGATGAAAAAGAGAGGTGAGCACTGCAATCCTGTGTGTGCTTGCTCAGATGTACGAGAAGTCCCACTGTGTGAAAACGAGTGGGGCCTTTTAGCAGTAGGGTGCGCAAAGGGTTGGCGCCGAAACCTGAGCCGTCATCTAGTTTCAGGCGTGGTTTACGAGCGCCTCGTAAAGAATTGCAGGGCTGAATGCGTTTTGAGCTTTGTTTGGTTTTAAGGCGGTGATTTAGGCAATGGTACAACTTCAGCCGGCCTTTGGCGACGGGTGTTCAGGCCCGTGCCAATGTTGCCTGACTAGTTTATGCTGGATTCTAGAGCAGGTGACATTAAGGCATGAGTCTTGAGATGTGTGGGCATTAAATCTTCTCCCACATCCGCCGCTGCTCAGCCACTCGATGCAGCTTGGCAGATGCATTGGTGGGTGCGCATGTGCTGCAAAAGAAGATCCTTCATCTGCAGACAATGTCTGTTAGCATCAAAAGATTCCTCTAAATAGCCGGTATTGATCCAGAAAATGACAGCAGTGGCCTTCTGCTGAGTCGAACCATTAGTCCATCTAGCTTTAGGGTAGGCAGTGCACACCAGGACATCTTTTTTGTGTCTGTCAAGTTGTCCTGCTCCTCTTTCTGTTTAGTTAACTGCTGGTGGGTTGGGATGGCAGTGGAGTTGGCTTCTGTTGGTGCTGACAACTGGATTAAGAGCTGAGCATATTGTAGCTCAAACCCCACTTGGGCCTTGTGTGCAGTCTTTGGGCAGCCTGCTTGGCCTCGGGGATGCTGGTAACTCCTGCTTCAGTGGGGCTCCTTATCCATAACAGCTTTCATCCCGAGCTTTAGAAGAGCTAACTCTGGTGTCCCATGGTATATTTAGGACTCCAAACCTATATTGGAGGCAGTGTCACCCCTGGTCTACCCTGCCTGGCAGGGACTTTCCAAGGTTTCAGGCTTTTCCAACCAGAGATTGACCTCCATTGCTAGAGTTTGAACCTGAGGCCTTCCCCATGCAGATTATGCACATGAAAAACTAACCTAGCTTTTCACTATTTCTGAAATGAATACATCTTCATTTTGCTTAAAAATGAAAAATTCAATTTTCCTAGGAATGCTGGGGCAATGCCTGCATAAAGCAGGTTTTAAAAGTCTTTAAAAACCTGCTTTCTCATTTTGTTTTTATACCAATGTCAATGTTATATAGCTCTAACTCATGCCTCGTTCTCTTGTGCTTATCTATGAGCTATAACAGAGTGCATAGATAAGCACCAGAGAGTGAAACATGAATTTGGATGCCTTTTGGCATCAAAATACCCCTCTCACAAACATAACAGACTTAAGTTGGAGAATGCAGAAGAAAAGTAGAGAAACAAGAAGCAGCTAGGCAAGGGAGGAGTGTAGAGAAATCTACAGGGACACCTGAAAAGTAATACAAACTTCTGCTGAAGGGTGAGAGATGTTTAAAGTGACCACCAATACGGTCTTATTAGGGACTTTGCCGGGCAATACATCATAGCTATCTCACTGTCATCGAAATTTAACCTTGGTCCTCCTGAAAAGTTGTACCTTTTCCCACTGCTTTGGAAATCTTCAGGATACTGTATTGTAAAGTGGGGTGCAAAGAGAGGAATCTGAGGATAAAAGGTGGAAAGGGATGATGAGATCTCAACAGTCTGGCTTCAGTTCCTTGATTCAGAACTGTGGAGCTACATGTGTTCTGACTGTGTTGTCCACACACATGTGCACACATGTGTTTAAAGCAAAACAATGCAGCCGATAGTACGACTCCTATTTTTCTTTTGGTTAGTGCTATGTAGGCTCCGTGTAACAAAGCCTGAGTAGTTGTTCGAGCATAGAGAAAACGCACACCCACAGTAGGTTCTGCAGAAGATTTAAAACATTAACGCCAAGATTTACTGACATCCAAAAGCCACCTTTGCAATGCATTGCATAGGACTTGCTTTTGCATACAAAGCTCTCGATGTAATTGCTCAAGGTATCTTTTTAACCCCACGTTTTGTGCTGAGAGGCAGCATTCTATTCCAGCCATTGTTCTGATGATGGACAAGTTTCCTTTTCATAAAATTATACCAAGGAGATGTCTCAGACATTAATTTCTGTTAATATTGGACCGTATATATTATTCACTGCAGCTAATTGTGCATCTCTCCCTGAAGCACTGAAAAGTCTCTTTTGTGATTAACACTGTTCTGCTTATGCACTTGATTTGAAAAAGACATTTCTCTATATGCAGTGCATGTCGGCTTTGCTTTTAAAATGACAAAGGTAGCAAAAATATGTTTGATATATTTTCTTGGGAAATAGGATTTTTATCATACTTTTCATCAAGGATTTGCCTTACCCTGACATTTGTGATATAAAGAAAGTCAGAAAAAATGTAATTTTCTTGATCAAAAATATGTTTTTACTTCAATGCAAATAAATGTAGTCTCTTGCTTGCGAAATATCTTCTAACATAAAATATAGACTGCTAAGTAGGGTTAACACAAGCCTCTTTTGTTAATCTGACATTTAAATGCTGGACTTGCTGATGAATCTGTTCTTTTCCTTTTGTCTGTGCCATACATAACTGAAAACTCTAACAAATGATGCCTTCATACTACAATGTTTGTTAAAAGCAAAATCAGAATAAAACTTCTTCTGAGGATGAAGCTGAACTGCTTGTCTTCCTCCAGATTTGCAAAGTGCGTGCTGCATGGGATGTGTACTGTTATTCAACACGGAGTCTGGTGCTATTCAACTTTGACATTTATGTTTTCCAGGAGGAACTGGAGGGGCGGGCTCACAGCGTTTGGAGATGATGCAAACTGTGGAGGCATTGCAAGAGCTGCAGGGCAAGGGCCCAAATGGAGGTGCTGTTGGTCAGAATGCTCACCAGCGCAGACAGTTACGGCTTTGGCAGGACTCCTTTCGCCAGTGTTAAGCTCTTATCCTGAAATCCTGAGAATCCATGCCCAAATAGCCCGGCCTTAACCCACAGAGTTAGTGCCCCTTCCTGGCTCTGAGGGCCCTTTAGCCAGGCACCCTCCATGGCTCTGCTCTCTTGGCAGGTCTGTCTGCTCTCCACCATTGCCACCTGCTGCTCTTGTTCTTGACCCCTTTCCTCCTTCTTTTTCCCTTTGCCTGCTTGGCAGTCAGGGAGCCAAGGAGCCAGTAGGCCATGCCATCCATTGCTCGCCTTCTCCCACCACTGCTCTCTGGGTGAGAATGAGAGGCAGGAGAGCAAGCAGGTTGCAGTGGTGGTGAGCAGCGGCAGTCCAGGGGGCCGCCACCCGTGATGCCCGGCTGGGATAGGAGCTCCATGCCAATGCCCAACCCTGCCTACTTTGGACCCTGACCCTACTCAGATGGTTTCCATGCATGCTTCGGTCAGTCTCAACATCACTGCAGGGCCCCTTCCCAAGCAGTACCACCAGCATCCAGTGGCAGGAGACGGGAACGGCAGCCGAGATCTCCCTCCACTGTGCCTTGTGCCCTGCCTTTTCTCTGAATGGCCACGTAGCACCAGAGGGGCAGAGGGAAGGAGGCTGGGATGCAAACTGCAGTCGGTGCAACTCTGCAGCCCCAGCCTCTCCACTCCCTGCCCCCTGGCATGGCCCTTTTGCTTCCTCTGGGGCTCAGTTGCGAATTGGGGCGGGGTGGGGACAGCCAGCATGGTTCTTCCAGCTCCGGCTGCAAGGGCGAGGGCCAGGTACCCGTTGGAGGGTCAGGTAACCCTTTGGAGTTGCAGCCCCAAGATCAGAGGTTCTTAGAGCTGGGACCCCAAAGAATCCTATGACTTCCTGAGCAAGGACCGGAGGCCATAGGAGCACACTATTAAAGAGTGTCTTGATTCTGTGGATACTTTGCCATTTGCTTACCCATGGTTATTATTTCAAACATTTTTCTGTGTTGAAAATGCTCTCAGATCACTAATAGCAAGAAGGCAGGCCCTGCCCTTGGATTTACAATCTGAAAGATATGAGACACAAGGGAAGGGAAGGGAAGGGAAGGGAAGGGAAGGGAAGGGAAGGGAAGGGAAGGGAAGGGAAGGGAAGGGAAGGGAAATAAACTTAGGGACCAAATCTTGAAGTCACCATATTGTAACAATGAGTCGGGATGGAAATAGTTTGGGTGACCAGGCAGAATGGCTCCTTCTGGCTACCAAAATCCACTAGTTTTTCCATGGAGCCAATGGAATATTCTTGCTTCCCTCACCATCACTTTTGCATCTCGACAGAATGGCTGGTTCTAGGTGGGTAGGTCCCAGGTGTGAATGTCTATTCAATTTTAAGAAGAACAAATGGAGAAAGAGTCAGAAAAATAAGTGACTTCCAAAGAGTGGCTGAAGGAACTTGACAGCCGGCTGCCTGGGTACAGCAGGAGTCGTGGTGCAACACATACGGTGGGTGCCGGATTTAGGAAGACGCGCATTCAGTAGCTCACATGCACTGACGGATATGGGAGGAACCAAGTGAAGCAACTGCTTTTCCCAATGCTGTGATGGCCAACACTGGAAGGGTAGAAGCGCAGGGAAGGTAGCTTTTGCTCTTTTTCTTTGCTTTTTTACAAATATTCTTTCCCATTGATCCCAAGGGGAAGGAAGTCAACCGTACCAGGTCTAGGGATGCTGTATTTGTGCCCCAATTCTGAACGTGTGCCAGCAGTGTGGAACAGGTCCACCTCATATAGATCTGCGGCACCAGCCGTGGGCTCCCTTTTTGTGCTGTCCAGTGTTTGAGTCCTGCCATGGAAAAAGCACCAGCTCTTGGTCTTTCCATGGCCTCACAGCCTCCTCTTAGGGTAAACCCTCTCTCTGCCCTCCAAGAGGGAAATGCTCCCCCAGAGGCTGTGAGACTACAGTGTTCGGTAGTTAGCCTGTCCAAAAGAAGGAAAACACACACACACACACACACACACACACACACACACACACACACACGGATAGTAAGTAATTCTGTGGGAAAAAGTAGTTACCACATGTACCTGTGGTGATCCCCTAAAGGTAGATCAGGCAAATTAGGCTTGCTGACATTTTACTGGCTTTAGCAGCAACCAGAGAGACAGAAATTAAGCAGATAAAATGTTCCCATCACCTTATCACCATGCCAGCAAAAGTTTCATCTAACAGAGGCGCCCTAACACTTGCTTTGCATACAAAGGATCCCCAGCTTGATCCCATCATCCCCAGGTAGGGCTGGAAAAGCTCTTCCATGAAACCCCGAATAGCTGCTGCTGCTGCAGGGTAAAGCAACTTTCTAAATGTCTGCTAATCCTAATGCTTTGAAAGGTGGGCATTTCTAACTGGAGAAGTGAATGGATTTTCCCAGCGGATGTTATTGGCCAACGCCTCCCAAGAGCCGACGTCACAACCTCCAAGTCTTTAATTATGGGCGCCCCGAATCCCACACCACTGCAGAATTCCTCTGGCCGATCACACAGCTCTGTTCCTCCATGGTGTTGGGGCTGCTGGAGGATGTGGCCTGTGTGACGAAGGACAAGTGCCGGCCTTTTCCTGCCCTGCTCAGATCATGCTCCCCTCTCTGCCCTGCACAGAAGAGCCACCTGAGTGATGGAGGAAGGGAGGTAGTCTCTCTCTCTGCCACCCAGATCTCAGTGTGCATAAATGTCCAGACTTGGGGGCTTGTGTGCATCCTATGCTCAGTCCAAGGTGTGGAGACGGCAGTCACCAGCGCAGCTCCCTGCACTGGGTTCTTTCTCTAGATGGCTCGTTTTTGCCATTGAGATTTAGTGCTAAGGAGGGGAAGGGAAGGAGGCTGGGACGCTGCCTGGAAATGGCACAAATCCAGGCAGGAACAAGGTTGCCCATCTCAGCTTGAACAAAAGTTCTCCTTTAATGCAAAATCTCAGTCTGGGCATATGAGCTCTTGCACATGCTCAGTAGCTCTGTGTGTCTTACTTTGGAATCACATGGTATTGTAGCCAAAGGCTTCGTTTGTTTTCTGGTGTGTCAGTCCCAAAAGAGGCAGGTGCAAATGGAGTTTAAGCTACAGGAGCGGACTTTATTCTGAATAAAGGGAATTCTCAACAACAAAGGTGAGAAATTTGTCACGGTCAAGAACAATAACAATCATCAAATAAAAAATCCTTGAAAAGCTAATTGGATACGAAAGTATTGCAGTCGAATCTTTGTGTACCTGTGCAAGTCAGACAATTACATGGTGTAAGGCCTTTATTTTTTTTAAAGAATACAATTACAAAATACATGTGCAATTTAAAAAAGAGACACAAAACATCTATATGTGTATATATATTAAAAAGAACAAACAAAACCCCACCACACTTAGTGCACCCCTCCATGGGGACCATGGGTGTAAGATGTTTTTTCCCCTCATTTTTTCCTTCTTCTTTGCCTCTAGTTCTAACTTTCCGTTCTTTCAGGAATACCTCCTTCCATCCAAAATTGCATTGCATCCGCTAAAGGTTTAATATCCTTTCCTTTTAGTAGTACACATTCAATAAACAAATCCTATATATCATTAAAATAATTCTTCTTCATCAATCCTTTTTTGTTTCACTCTAATCCTACACGTCAACATCATCAACAGCCACATTCCAAACCTCTTTATACAGTCTTGGGGCCTTATCTGGTCATGTAAACTTTTCTCTCTGAAACGATGCATTAAGTCAGGGCAGGTCCCACAGTATGACATGCTTTCATGCATCACCATCTTACACACCCCTTTGTGCACTGGTTGCTTTCACATGGCCTGCCGGTGTGATGGGAGTCTTGCTGGTGTGATGATGCCCCCCTCCCCAGAGCTGGAGCTGGGCTGGTGGTGAGGGAAGCCATTAAGGGGACAGCTTTAAGGTCTTTTTGGGGGGTGTTCCAGCTGATGGGGTCACTGCACATCCAGGGTAGGATTGGTGTACTACTTTACTGGGCCTATTTTGAAGCTCACAAACAACAGAGAATTATAATATTGTGTAGTTCGTTAGCTTCATTGCCTCATTCATTGCCCCAAGGCTGAAACTCTCTGGGCTGTTTGTAACAGCACCATACAGATTCTCCAAAATGGAAAATAGGAAAACAAACTGAAAACAGCTACAGCGACCAAGCCTACAAAGGGCAGACTTGCAACGTGCTGGAAAGAGCTTCCCCCTGCGAAGCCTTGGCTGTCTTTCAATGCTTCGGTACGGAAGACTGTCTTGGTCCCAGCAAGAGGACAGCTGTGGCAACAGGGAGGGGGCTCAAGGGCGAGATCGCCTGGGGGGCTGCTGCTGAGGAAACCCTCCTTCTTCGTGCCATCCTCAAGTCTCCCTTGCAGCTGGCACTCGCAGAAGGGTCCCAGATGTTGGACCATTTGGTCCAGGTAGACTGCGGCGGGAGAGGCAGTATATAGAGGGGCCCCTGCAAACTTCTGTGGGCCCAAGCCATGCAGTGCCTTGATCCTCGCTAATGACCAAGGGGAGCATTACGGCTGGAAAAGTTTCACCCAATGAGCTGACTGAATTCAACATTCAGCTGCATCACTACTAAGCACGCTGGGTCCCATCATCCTCGTGCTTTTTCTAAATGCAGTCCACCACTCCAGAGTATAATACAAGCAAGTAGCTTCTGCAAAGGCCCAATGAGTGGTACAGAAAAACCACTCATTTCCATAAGTAAAGTCATTCAGTGAAATGCAAGCCTGATTTAAATGTTCA